TTCAGAGCAGTTGCCCAGCAAGCGAAAGAATCCGGGTTCGTGTCCCGGACTAGCAAACCGCGTTCTCGATATTTTTCTCTCTCTGGAACGAAAAGATACGCAGATCTCAAAAGTACAACGTTTCGCCGCCACCTAGAACGCCCTCCTCCTTCTATGGCGAATTGTGAACAATTACTGACGGATTTGCGATTTTTCGAGATGAGACTACATTAATGAAGTCTTGTGTGCACGGTAGCTCACTTGGTATATACTTTCTTCACAAGCATGCTGTAGCATGCTGTAAAGTCCCAAAACTAACATCATTGTAGCCTCGTTTAATCTAGATGCTTCCCTGAATTATCTCGTCATTATTTATCAGAGCATTCGGGCAATCGTGAGCATAAATAACGCGAGCCGCGTTATTAAAAGAACGTAAATGGTCAACAATGAAACAAATTTGGTCATCAACCATAACCATCATTCTACAATTGCGTAAGTGTGGCTTTAAGTGGCTGTAAGTAATTACGACAACCAATCAGAATAAAGCAACTAGTTAATAAAACGCTCTAATTGGTTGACTTTTACATTCACGACCACGCTAAGATAATTGTGACCTTTAAATATACTAACATGCACGATACACATATACAACTATCTGAAAAAGATTATAAATACGGAAAATGACATAGCGATCGTGGCGAACGGACGAAAGGAGAAGGAAGACTGGCGACACATCATGTATTAACGTATCCGCGACAGCGTGAAAACATATGAGGTCGACTTCCTAGCGTATAAATCCCAGTAACCTTCGCACGGCCGAAACAGGTCACCGGCGGATCGATTTATGCGCTGCAATCGATTCCTCGTTTGCCGAGGTCGTTCATTATCGCGATCTGCTTGTTGTACTCCTCTCTTTTCGTTGCTCGCTTATTGCCGGGATATACAGGAAGAAGCGACCTCAATCGTTCGTTCTTCTCATCAACCACAAAGTATATGACGACTAATTAAGTAATTAAATAGAACTGAATTCTCGACCTTTTATCGTATCCATAAAAAGCTAGAGTCATTTCTAGCGAGAAATCTAAATTTTCGGCGACGTGTTTTCTAACACTTCATCTGTGACTATTAGTACGTTATATCAGTACGTTTCCGAAAAAGTAGTTATATTACTAATAAAATAAAATAAAAGATATATGTGCCCTTTCCCTCTCGAATTAAAATCATATATTTAGTAAGTCAATCATCAGTTAACTTTTTGTACACAGTAAAAATATATATTACGTTTTTCATATAAAACCTTTTTACCATATATTCTAATAATGTAGGAATGGACCGTAAAGAATATACACATAGTAAATTGTTTAACATCAGAGACATTAGATAATTCCTAAAATATACATAACTTATATGAAACAAAAGAATAATAAATTGTGACAGAATGTTGATATGTTCTTTAGTTGCAAAATTTTACAGTAATTTTTATCATAAAATTTTCTTCGTATTAAATAAATAGAAATCCACGCAACTCTCAAGATATTAATGTCGCTTCTTCTAGTACAGGACTCAAAAGATTCTCTTTACCATATTTCTATTTATTTTAGTACAATTATGACAAGATAAAGTAAAATTAATAAAAAAATACTTTAATTAATTATCATGGTGATTTGCATCATTATGATTTGTCAAAGAATAAAGTAACGAAGCCGATTATAAAATATCTTTTTTAATATTACTATAATGTAAATATATATTTCAATGTTTTAATAATGTAGAAACTGTGACAGACATGTTATTTATAATAATCCAATAAAAGAAAATATTCAAAATTTTAACGCAATTTGAAAGTTAATAAAAAAGTAAAAAGTGAAAAAATCAAGATATCGAAAAAATGGGAGATATTCATCGCCGAGAAAATTCAGGAAACATTAGTAAATAACATAATCAATACAGTTCAAATTTTCTTATTTTTGAGAAATTATTGTTTATAATCACTGAAATTATTTTATACATTGAGAATAGTTTAGTTATTTATTAAGAGGTATTGTGTATACTTTCTACGAAAAATAAACATAATAAATGACAAAAAGAAACAGAAGGAAATTTGTCCCGTTTTTTACACAAAATCTTTAAGTTGTTAGTTATTTATTTTGTAATGATCCATATTATCAATACATTTTTTATGACGAACCCCGTATCATTAAGAAAGTTAGAAATAGTAATTAAAAAGTGTAAAACATTATTGATACAATTATATTGAAAATGTAAATTGATTATAAATGAATATAAATAAATAATAAAAACTTCCCTAAAACTAAAATCACACAATGCACGATATCATGCCTTTTTCAATGCATGCTAACCAACGGTTTAATTCACTATATAAATCTTTATTGTGCATTCGAAAGTCTATGGAGTGAACTGCACTGCTACTCCGTATACACATATCAGAAGTAGTACATCGTATGTTTTTAGCTTTAAGTTAGCCCGTCCATAAATTCATTTTTTTAGGAATCTTATAAAGTTTTAATTAAAATAATGGAAATTAAAGTTAGCACTTTTTACATATATTGCATGTACGAAAATAGCTTCCGATAATACGTTTTTAATTAAGGTAGACCGAAGCGAATCGGGTTACAAGGTAAATCGAATTCAATATAATCTCTAAAACAGTTATTGTTAATATTTTGTTTTAAATAAGCTGTTTTATCATGCCAGTTAGTAACTATTAGGTGTACAACTTTGCTTCCGCCGTTTTTTTTCCGAAATTCGAGGCTTTATTGTAAAAAACTGGTTATGCATTTAGGATTCAAAGTATTGTCCATCGCTGGTCACTACTTTCTCCCATCTTTCGGGCAGCGTACGAATCCCGCGTCGAAAAAACTGATCATCTTTTGAGGCGATCCACGAATCGATCCAATTTTTTACTTCTTCATAAGACCGGAAGTGCTGGTCAGCCAGGCCGTGTGCCATTGATCGAAACAAGTGATAGTCAGAGGGAGCAACGTCTGGAGAATGCGGCGGGTGGGATAGGACTTCCCATTTCAACGTTTCCAAGTATGTCTTGACCACTTTCGCAACATGGGGTCGAGCATTGTTATATTGCAAAATCACTTTATCGTGTCTCTCGTTGTATTGCGGCCGTTTGTCTCTCAATGCTCGGTTCAAACGCATCAATTGCGTTCGATACCGATCGCCTGTGATTGTTTCATTCGGTTTTAACAGCTCATAATACACTACGCCGAGCTGGTCCCACCAAATACAGAGCATGACCTTGGAGCCATGAATATTCGGTTTGGCCGTCGACGTGGAAGCATGGCCGGGAACTCCCCATGATTTTCTGCGCTTGGGGTTATCATAATGAACCTATTTGTCGCAATGCCCCAGTCACAATGCAATGCAGAAATCCCTTCCGTCTTTGCCTTTCAAGCAGCTGTTCACAAGCAAATAAACGCCGTTCAACATCTCTCGGCTTCAATTCGTACGGCACCCAATTTCCTTACTTCTGAATCGTTCCCATGGCTTTGAAGCGTTTTGAAATGGCTTGTTGAGTCACTTCCAATGATCGTGCCAATTTTTCTTGATTTTGACACGAATCTTGATCAAGTAATGCCTCCAATTCTGCATCTTCGAAAACCTTCTCTCTTCCACCGCTATGCCGGTCTTCGACGTCAAAATCACCGTTCTTGAAGCGTTGAAACCACTCACGTTCTTTCATTAATAGCGGTCTCACCATAAATATTTGAGAGTATTCGATGAGCCTCAGCCGCAGGTTTCTTCATATTGAAGCAGAAAATTAAAACCTCCCGCAAATGACGAGAATTTGGCTCGTAAACTGACATTTTCAATCGAGAATAACTTTATGATGCAGACACAAATCGACTAATATTTCTATGTTGACAGATGCCCAAGTTTATTGTATGACGTCTATGATGTATTTATTTCGACCACCACTTACCGTTAAAGCCATCTATAGGAAAACGGCGGAAGCAAAGTTCTACACCTAATATACAATAGCATGATAAAATAGCTCATGTAAAACAACATATTAACAATAACTGTCTTAGAGTTTATATTGATCTGACTCACTCTATGATTCAATTCGCCTCGGTTTACCCTATAGCGATCAAACTACTCTTAAGGTTTTAATGAAAAACAAGATGATAAAAGAGACTTGTAAAACTATTACAAAGTACAAGACATTTGACGTTTTGAAGTAATTGATATATAAAGTACACAATTTTTGATGAAAAATATATGACAGCTAACTTAGGGGGATCTTGCATAGGGGGCAATATTGCATACGAAAGTAGTCAAATCGTCGCAATTCACATCGTCTATTCTATAATAGTCTAACAGTTTGATAGATACGATATCGTCACATAACGCGATAAACTCAGTCACTATGTAATACATTAATCAATAACTTTATAATAGTACTGTCACGAACGAACTACCTTAAGCAGACTGATTGCCACAACATCTAATTTTCAGACGAAGCGAAAGTAAAAAATTGTTAGTATTTCCATATATATTTTTTAACTGATTAATATTATATATAACAAATGCAACAATTTCCAACAGTTGCTATCAGAGTATAGTATTTTATAAAAGAAATAAGCTCCTATTCCATACTATTTGTCTTCCATCATCGGCTCTTTTTCTTTCTAAATTTCTTATAGTGAAATTTCACTCGAAAAGTGAATATTTTTACTCGAAATTAAAGCATAAATCTGATATATTTTATTGTCACAGAAACATATTTATTCTAATTGATTGAAACATTCAGTCATATGAAGTCATAGCATACTATAAGCTGAAATGAAATATGTATTTTCGCGATTTCAAGTGACAATATTTTCACCATCATTTTGAGCCAAAATATTGCCACTTTTCCCAAGTTTTGAGTAAGATCCCACTCTAAGAAATTTAGGAAGTGCCTTATACTTTGTGTAAAATCATAATCTATATCTCTATTATATTTCGTTTTAAATCTTCTCTTATCGGATGTTTTCTTGTTGCAGGTACGTTCAAGTTCCTTGACCTCGCTGGACGCCTTGGGCAGCAGCATGCTGGACACGGGGGAGCACCATCTGGGAAGTGGTCCCTCGCAGCAGCAATCCCATCACCTGCACCACCATCAGCAACCCCATCAACTGCAACACCACCCCCACAATGTCATCGAGTGCAGTCCTCGATTTCTTGTGCCGAACGCGACGCCCGCCGAGGGTGCACATTCTAATCGTACCAGGCATAAACTCTCGCGGTCTCAAGTAAGTAAAAGTGATATTAACTATTCCTTCACTAATATGTTACGTTAGCTTGTTATAAATCAGCTCATAATAATATGTTACTGAGAGCGTCAAAAAGTTTAGTATTTAGTAGTAGTTTTAGATAGTATTTATTTTTATTCAAATTTGACTTTTTATTAATTTCAATATAAATAAATAATAACAGTCAATAGGTAATTTGTTACATAGAATTTTTTATGTTTTCATGTTTTCATATTTTATGCGTAGAATCGGAAAACGAAGGCAGAATTTCTTTATCATTCACAGTTTTTTTATTGTGACAGTTATTTGAAATTTAATATATTGTGTATGGGACATTTCCCACACATAAACAATTCGTAAATTAAATTTTAGTAATTATTTACTATTTACTTTTTGGTAATTATTTACTATTTACTTTTTAGTAATTATTTACTAATTATTTATTATTTATTTATTTATTTATTAAGAGACACTTTACTAATAACTTAAATCTTGACATATATTGTCAACGTCAATGTTCTGAATAACTTTCAAAAGGTTTTAGCTGTCGCTCATTATTTATTAAAAAGTTATTAAGAAAGCAACTTTTATAAATTGAACACAATTTTTACATGCAGTATATATTAAAATATAACAGAAAACAGTATATGTATATACGCGGGAAAAGAGCCCTTGCACACCCTCCTCAAAAAAATTAATCCAACCCAATATATCATTTACATAGTTTTACAATAAGAAAAAATATAAAAGTACAAAAGATACAGAGAAAGAATAAAAAAATGTAAAGAAGTTAAATTGGATTAGTTTTTTGGAAAGAGGGTGCAGGGGCAGGGGCTCTGCCTTTTTTCATGTATATATGTGTACTGTTTACTATATTCTAATGTATGCTATATATAAAAATTTCGTTCTATAAAAATACGATATATAATACGATACAATTTGCAGAAACGTTAGGTATTCTTAATATATTCTAATACCTGAGACACATTATTTCATTACGAACGATTTTTTTCCACACAAGAAATTCCACAAAGATTCGAAATTGTATGTCATATGAATAAATTCGTATAAATACATCTTCGAAGTTCATGAAACTCTGTTGAAATTATCCAAGCGACTGACTGACTAAGACACGACGAGACAGTGACTAAGAGTAATAACATTGAGCAAAATTTACCAAGTAACAATATCTTACATATTTTAAAGGAATCAAAATAGAGAAATAGGCTTCGAAATACTATGAATATATTTGTATATAGCACGTGTATAGCACATATTGATTCCTTAAATATGTACACGGTATCGGAAAATTACGTTTTATATATGAAAATTCTTTTGTTAATAACTTTTTAACAAACATGAACAACAACTAAAACCTCTTGAATATTACTCAGGAGGGTGTCTTTGATAATATATATAACAGGCAAGATTATTAGAGATGGGTTCTCTAAATAAAAAATATATTTACCATTATTTTTTTTTAAATCAGTCGTACAATCAATAGAAAGTCACCAATAGGAAACGAGATGAGAAATACACGAATTACCGTATCTCTGATAATTCGATCATCAGTTAAGTTGTTATCTAATCAACGTGACAGTATGTGTCAACGTGTTAAGAATCATAATATCAACAGATATAATACACACTTTGCCGTTTAGCATACATTAAAGTCTGAGCACTAGAGGCGATTTTGTAATAAATATCCAAGGGAATGCCGAGAGAGCGCTTTCCATAAAAGCTCATACTTCCTTCTCTTGATTCCTTCCCCTGCGAATATCGCCGAATCGCCAGTAATTACAATTTAACATTCGGGATAAAATATCGTTCACATTTTGTTGCCGTTTTCATTTGCGTACGCTGGACATAAAATTAACGCACTGCACTTAATCGAAAAGAGAGACTCCAATTTATTTTCAGCAATGTAACTCCAGTCATATTTCCTCCGCGAGAACTTACAATGTTTATATGCATTTGCTCATGTTATATACATGTAGGGCGTATCCGTGTTTTGCGAGATATAATCTAAACTTTCATTATTAAATATCTTAGTAATTAACTCTCTCGAGTTCAACAAAGTTACTGTTGAAGTTCATTTTAGATTACGTGCGCAACTGCCGCCTTTTTCGCTGCTTCCTCTTTTACGTTTCTGGAATTCTCGGCTTTTTCATTTTAATCGTTTATAATTGACCGCATTCCAGGCAATTTAAAAAAGAAAAATAAAAATAATTATCATTTCAAGCTTTTCAACAAAGGATGTACCGTTATATAAGAAAGACGATCGCGAAAATCGTTGCGCTCTATAGCACGATGTATTGACTTATCGTTTTGTTCATGTAATGAAAAAGGACAAATCGGTGTATGATAATCCGGATGGAATACACATACGGCAACATAGAAAGAATAAACGCATAAAAATTCAATATAACGTTCAAAAATTTTCACTTTATATCCGGGCTCATCCGCTCGATCAACAGCGGGCGAGAAAGCAACAAAACACAACGAAATGTTTCCCGCCCTGTATATCATTTGCATTATCCCCGCTTAAACTAACATGACATTTGAGGGAAACCTAAATCTCTCTCTCTCTCTCTCTCTCTCTCTCTCTCTCTCTCTCTCTCTCTCTCTCT